TTATAGATATATAAAATTATATTTGAAATTTTGAGTTTTATTTATGAAAAATGTTAGTGATGTAAATATCTTAGAATTGATTGCCATTATATTTCTAATTTCTTGTTGAGAAAGAAAATATGAGAAAATATTTAAAAAGTCTGAAAAATTCCTCATATTTCATATAATTACTTACAAATCGTTGATATAAGAAATTAATTATAAAAAATTTTGTAAAAAATTATGAGAAAAATTTTTTGTAATTAATTTCTTATATCAACGATTTGTAAGTAATTATGTGAAATATGAGGAATTTTTCAGACTTTAAATATTTCCTCATACTTTCTTTCGCAACAAGAAATTAAAAATTTTACAAATATTATACAAAAATTATATATAATTTTTGTATAATATTTGTAAAATTTTTATTGCGATAAGGAATGCGCTTAATAAATAATGGTCTTAATTAAAAATTACTAGTAATTTTTTAGTGATACTACATATAACCACTAGTTTAATTATTAGAATTTGCTTAATTCGTTTATCGATAAGACAATTAATTATTAGTTTATTACAGTCACTCTCCGAGGTAGTGTCGACATATTCGAGAAAAACTCGATAAATTAAATGACAGTTACAGAATTATTTAACTGACCTTTAAATTTGCCTACGCTCATTAACCTTTGAACTTTTGTTTGACCATTTTCTACAAAATAAGAAAACGAGTTACGATTTATTCTTATTTCTTGGATTAATCTTAAGAAAAGTCACTTACTTGCTCTTTGATACTCTTCGTTGTTCTTTACTGCTACATACCACACTTCCACTTCTACTTTCCTGAAAGGGAATATAAAATATTTTCCAATCGATACTTATATAGGTATGTAGTACATTGTCGGTTAATATTTAATCTCTGTCACTCCCTTACTTCAAAAGTAACACAGCTAAAAAATGTGATTTTCGAGTTATTACCATAATAAATGAGTTCGGTATAAACTCTATCAAACGTGAACTTACTTATAACTTCATTAAAAATCGCCACAATTCAAAAAGAGTACAGGTGTTTATTTAAAAAGAATTATTACAACTCACAAAGGATAACTTTTTTAAGAATGATACGGAAGCGAGATGACAAAAAAGATGACATTTAATTCATATTAAGAATATATTTATGTTAAAGATATATTCTTTTTGCCGATATCATTTAATTAGTTAATCATTTTCTGCAAAATTAAAAATACTTTTCCCTCTTTCCTGAAAAACTTAATTTTTATAGCTCCGTCACTTTTGAATTGGTAAGAAACCGATACATGTATCACCTGTGCAATGACCGCAGGACGTAAGTCAATAATTGTGAGAGAATGTCACATGTCTATCGCATGACAGTGCATGCCATAATTAAGTAAATCACAAAGGACCGAGAAAAAAGAAAATCACTCAAAGTTCGTAGCCACTTATAAATAACTTTCAAATTACAATAAATTGTTATCTGTTTTTTTAGCAAATAAAAGTGTACACGATGAAAACCCTCGATAGTTGTGCGCGCAAATAAAGGAGACCTGTAAGATAATTACCTCTCTCTCTCTCTCTCTTTCTCTCTCTCTCTCTCTCTCTCTCTCTCTCTCTCTCTCTCTCTCGCTCACTATGTGTATATGTGTGTAGAATATAGATGGTTAAAAGAAAGTCTTTTATTATACTTTATCTTTGTAGCTAATAAAGATTGTAGTCCTGTACACATTAGATGTCTTTATTTCTCGACATCCCGACATTTATTTTTCAACTACCACTTCATGATAATAGCGAATGAGAGAGAAGACTTCTTCAAATCGTTATTTATTCAGAAATACGCTATGTTATTGACGATATTGAACACATATAATAACAGGATAAAACGTTATAAATCATAATGAAAAGAACGAACATCATTGCATCCTATGTGACGACGTGTATTAATACAAGCTCAAGTATCGAATAGAAATTCAAAAGAAAAGATGATTCGGTGTTCACATCGCGTTTTTCTTAGCATCAAAGGAGAGACATCGAGCCGAGCACCTATCGCAGGGATCGCGGGGGTCACAGGTATCCGCTAATGACATTTGGACCTATTCATTGAACTTCGAACTATTTCGAAGAATTAGAAATGTGGGGATAGAGCCGGTCGGGTAGACGAACGAATGACGCGGTCTCGAGAAGACATTGTTCCTTCGATATTCAATTAGTAAAGTCGATCTTTGATTGTAAGACGTGATTGTGGCTAGCGAAAATAAGTTATAATAGTTGTAATTGACACGCGGTCTCTCTCCAGCAAAAACTACCGCTTACAATAAATTCTTTAAACTATAAAGAGTCAAATTACTTATTGAATTAATTATCATCGCCGCGTAGTGGAATATTGGCGACGAAATTTGATCACCAAGGCAGCGACATGTGAACGACTTCATTTCGACTGTCGTTTCACCATCACCATCAGCAATTCCTCAACAAATTTTTGATCCTTCGAGCAGGATTTACTCCGGATGGAAGCGACAACCAAACTCTGACGGAAATAGATTGACGAGGTTGTACAAATTGCAATTATCAGAAGATCATCACTTGCCAATCGAAGGAACATTCAGAACCTGACATTGGATTGCTTTAGTCATCGAGTGGGGAACTACTGGTGTGTTTATCATCGTGAAGGGACAACCATTCATCCGGCCTGCATCCTGATCGCTGGGGCACAACGGTGGCACAAGCAAGGTTTGTGAGCGCAATATTGGTGAGCTGTTTTATTTAGCTGTATCAATTAAAAATTTTGTCTCGCATAAGCATGCCAACCGAGCGCAGTCCTGCTGCGAGCCATTTTATAGTCATTTGAGCAACATTTCTTATAACGACAGGCGAGCCTGTTATCTATTTTAAAAAGAAGTGGAGTAATCAAGACATAGGCTCGTATTCAGAACGCGCTTACAACGATGTTAGCACGCTAACATACTATACTTTACGTCACGCATATTTATGCGATATAGAATTTCAGAGATAAAAGCGCGCTTTTATCGATAAAAGCGCGTTCTGAATACGGGCCATAATGTACGCTCATGAAAATTTTTATAAACGACATACACGCTTTAACAGCTGCGGTATGAGCGCAATTAGAGGAAAGACGTGTTTAGAGACTTTATTATTGTAATATACAAGCGCAAATTAAAATAATTAACAAGAAAGAAGTAAGTGATAGAATAGCCATTTAGTCATTTCATTCATTGTACATGAAATTCCGACAGCGATCACAGTTCGGCTATTCTCACTTGGGCGCACGAACATCGTCTACGCAATTGGTTCCATTGGAACCGCTACAGAATTCACATCTCGTTTATCGAAACTGAATTTATCAACATTCTCGAAAAAATATGATGAGTGGTCAATTCTCAATAATATCACCACGTTTACTTGTCACAATATGAGCTGAAATGTTCAGTGAATCATCAGTGATTATTTTTTTATTGGAATATATCTTTATTTTTGATAATCAACCACACTCTTTAAAAAACCCCTACAGCACAAAGTTGCACATAAGTTGCAGCAACACTGCTGCAATATTGCAGCAACATTGCATGTTGCAGTAGCATTGCAAAGATTTTGCAGCGATATTGCTATAAATTCTGTGCTGTATGGGAAATGTTTGTATTAAGAATTAGGCTAGGATGTTTTAGTACGTGGACGCATCTTAATATTGATCCTATAATTTTGATTCCAAGTGTATAGTATGTTAATTTATTATAAATAATATAGCGCGCGTATATAAGCGGATGTTTAGTATGTGTAATAAATAAAATAACTTAATGACGTTAAAAATGTATAAGATTCACTGAAAAAAAGAAGTGTTTAATTTTAAGATATTAAAATGTTTTATTCTTGACTCCATTTTTTAAACACTTAAAGATGTTTTAGTTTTAAACTTTTTAAATAGACAAAACACTACGTGTTTGGATTTAAAACACTATGCGTTTTAACGTAGTGTTTTGTCTATTGAAAAAATTTAAAACTAAAACATCTGGTAAATATTCAGAAAAGGGGAGCCACCTCCGATGACCTTGACCTTGACATATGTTGTCAAGGTCGTGACCCTGAGTGACCTCCACCAGGTTATAGGTGACGGTCGCTGTCCGTTAAAAAATTATTAACAGTTAAAGTTAGTAATTATTTCACTGCTTTACATGAAAAGTCAGACAACTCTGGGCAGCGAGAGAAGTATCAAGTGAACTAATCAAAGGAATATGACTTCCTCCCCTCTTCCTTGCAAAGGGGCGCACGACTCTCACCTTCGACTCTCACCTCCGCTCCCCCCCCCCTGCCAAGGGGCGCACAACTCTCACCTTCGACTCTCACCCTCCTCTCACCCCCTGCAAAGGGACGCCCGACTTCCATAAGACTGTTTGCAGGGGGAAGGTAAAGGTTAAAGCCGAAGGTGAGAGATGTATAATTTTCAAGATGTATAATTAAGAGTCGAAGGTGAGAGTTGGCGCCCCTTTGCAGGAGGGAGGGAAGGGTGAGAGTTGAAGATCAGAGTTATCTGACTTTTTATGTAAAATAGTGAAATAATTACTAACTTTAACTGTTAATAATTTTTTAACGGACAGCGACCGCCACCTATAACCTGGTGGAGGTCATTCAGGGTCATGACCTTGACAACATATGTCAAAGTCAAGGTCATCGGAGGTAGCTCCCCTTTTCTGAATATTTACCAAACATCTTTAAGTGTTTAAAAAATAGGAACAAGAATAAAACATTTCTTTTTACAGTGTTCTTGTTTGAAGTAACAATACAAAAAATTACAAAAATTAATACAAAGATTTACTTAAAAAGATTGATTCTTTATAGTTACTTTTTAAACAGCTGTAACTGTAACATATTACTTTTCAGAATTCGGTAATTTGTAATGGTAACAAATTACTTTTTGAAAGAAAAAGAAAAAAGTAACTCTGTAATTCTCACAAAGTAGCTTACCCGATCCTGCAATTTTAATTGACAACATCATAAGCATGGATTTCCAAAACGTGAATTCCTTAAACGTTTGGTTGAATTTGGTCACGGGTAATCTGCTACCGATGATCGACCATGACTTACCTATTTCATTCTTTTGGAAAATTTACAGTGTTTTTGTATGGATGTTAGAAATAACTGTAACGATCATGATGATACCTGGATGTATGTACGTGTCAATGGAGAAGGCTATAAATGACAGCCTCATCTGCCTTATAGAAACAATAGAAATGTTTTTTATGATTTGGCGTATTCACACTCGTAAAGATCTGATGCATCAATTAATCCAAAAGCTGAATGAGAAGCTGCATACTGCTGATGAAACTATGAAGAACATCGTGTCAGAGACTATAGATCCGATAAGGGGTCCACTTACTTTCTACTGGATCACCGGCATGACGTCGATAACGGCGTGGCATATTGTAACGTATATAGTAATATTCGAAAAGAATCTATTTTATTACGAAGATTACAGAGTACCTGCTGGTTTTTTTAAGGAGCCATTCTCGCTTAAAGTCTATCTATTAGGAGGCTTGTTTATACTGGTTAGCATGGTATATTCGTTCATAAAAAAAGTTGGTGCGGAAGTTTACACGGTGCATTTGATTTTAATGATAACCGCGCAATATCGATACATTGCGGAAAAAATTGCAATGACATTTCAAGAAGAAAATGAAGTTGATGAATATCAAAAAGAACATTCCCTTACATTTAACCGAAAAAAAGAAACAGAAATTAGAACACTCTGTCGACATCACAATGACGTGATATAGTAGGTATCTCAAAGTTTATTCAAGTATGTTGTTTCTAATAATCCTTGTGGATAGAAAGAACATAAATATAACATAATGATTAATATAACAAATTAGTTCTTATATAATTAAATTATTCAATTAAATTGTATTTTAAATTTGCTTTGATGAGTTTATATTTAAATCTACTTTTATTGCGTTATTTAGGGCTTTAAGGGTACATTATATTATATGTTTTCTTTCAGCTTAATGTCATTGGTAAAAGAATTACTGTCTTTAAGCTTTACTGTAATGTATGTAAATAACGTTTTACGATTCTGCTTTATTGGTGTCTTGTTAGGCAACGTGAGTAATAATTGGTTACCACTATTGTATTTGTTCTCTCTCTTTTCCTCTCTTATCTTTCCTTCTTCTTTTTTCTTTATAGAAATTTATTCTACATAAAAAGAAATTTAAATAATTATTTAATTATATTGAGGATTTTTAATCATGAAATAATAGCAAATACATCTTTATTAAAATTTCAGATAGCATCAGTGACGTTCTTCGAAGCGATACCGGTTATGATATACACATCAGGTGCAGTAGTACAACTTTATATTTTGTGCTCCTGTGTGCAACAATTAATAAACGCGGTAAATTTTGTAATTTAGCTTTTAGATAATTTTGTTTTTAATTTACAATTGAAAAGTTTCTAAATTATTATAAGGATGTTAAAGAAGTGTCAATTTTTACTTTCGGCAATAAAGTGTTTCTATAGTTTTTGAGCTGCAGAATCTGACTCTATTCTTTAAAAAATTTTAATTTGTCTAGAAAATATTAAAATCGTCATATGAAGCTATTAAGGGCCGTCACAATAGAAGTAGTAAGTAGTAAGTAGTAATATTTTATTGGAAATATTACAACAATATTGCAAAATATTATAATTTTAATATTTTGTAGAAAATATTGCAATATATTGTTGCAATATTACAATTCAGTAAATGAGTACGCGGCCCCGCCACAAGAGGGATACGCTTCTCGTAAGGAGAAAACGTCCAGGAGTCCCATAAGGAGAGTCCTAAATAATATGTTAGCAATTAATAAAACTAGAATAATTATTGAAACATTGCATAATGTTATAGCAATATGTTTGCAATATTTTATTTTTGCGGACATAGGAATATTGTTACAATATTGCAGCAATATTTTATGAAATATTGCAATCTTCCAAAATAATGTTGCTGCAATATTTCGTGCTGTAGGGGATACCGTCATACTGTGTCTCCAGAAAAAGGTTTCTAGAATATAAATATTACTTTTTATATCTTAATTCGATAGCATTAAGAAGTTATTCAAGAATAAAGGCTTAAATGGTATTTTCTCTCAAATCTTATTTAAAAAATTTTTTTGAAATAAAACTATATTTTGATGAGAAAATTTTACCATTCTCTTTAGCAAAATTGGCACTTCTCTAACTTCTTTATTTTTTTTATATATATTTATAAATTGCTTAATTTTCTCATTTTAGAAAACGTATTGATAGGTATATAACATTAAAATTTTCAGAAAACTAGACATTATAGTTTGGTGAATTGTATTTTATATATAATATAAATAAATAAATTTAATATTAAATATAATATACTTATATGTAGTATATTTATATATAATTATTTGATTTTTGTTGCATATTGCTCTTCTGTGGAAACTGTAGAGTACGGAAATATCAGATAAGGCGTTTCACGAAAAGTGGTATTTGCTTCAGCCATCAATAAAACATACATTTATCTTGATAATTATGGCTAATAATTTAGAATGCAAAATTGCTACGTTTAAAAATTTTAATTTCTCCTTGCCTTCATTTATGGCGGTAAAATTTTGTACACTTTTTATTTCTTTTTCATAATAATATATACTTTATATTATATTTCAAATCTAATATTCTTCGAACTTCCTTTCAGATTTTAAATCAATCGTACTCAATCGCCCTTCTGTTTTTAAAAACAAATTGAAAAGTACCGAAGGAGAAATCTTGTTTACAGTAGTTACAATTGTTACTTCCAAACTAAATAACAAAAATTAATAATCCTATTCAAATGTGTATTACTTACAATGAAAGGATTATCACGAAATAAAGAGATTATAATTAGTATTAAATAAGCTGTATGTATATTTATTTACTAAATTCCTCCTCTTAGGACTACAAGAATTTCACAAGATTAAATACAAGAAAATTTGATTTTATATTTTATACATCTTTACGCTTCTTTTTTGCCATCTTATGCCTAACTTACAACTTGCAACTATTCTGTCTGTAACTGACTCTGCTTATTTCCTACATACACGCATGCACGCACGCACGCAACATCTGCATGATAGGTATGGTAACGATTTGAGGTAATTGTACAGTTTAGTTACAGCATCTTATTCGACGCAGCCTGTATGTGCATTCAGAAAACGCTCGCTGAGTTTAGTGATCCGCTTAGTGAGCTCTTGCATCTGATTAGCATATTCCGTTAGATCTAAAAATATAGACCAAACAGGTACAAGAGCTCACTGAGCGGTCGTAGTACTGCGTAGTACTGAATGGTTGCGTTCAGCAGACTCAACAGTTGAGTGAGCGCTCGCTGCTATTGATGTATTCTTCTAGATCTAAAATTCTGATTGGATGATCTAAAAGAATACATCAATATCAAAACGAGCGCTAACGCCGCTAACTCAACTATTGAGTCCGCTGAATGCACCCATTAGTGATTCTTTAATATGATTGGTTCATACACTTATATCCAGCGAAGAACTAAAGGTAAGAACCAATCATATTAAAAAATCGATTACTAAGCGCTTATTAATCAGTATTCTCTGTTCAATGCAGCCATTATGACCGATTATAGATATAACTTAATTAATTTTATTTTTTTTAAATTTTATTCAATTAATTTTATTCTCTAGTATTCAATTAACTTTATTTTTATATAATTAAAGTAACAAATTTTAATATACTAATATTTTTATTTTCTAGCAAAATCATTAAAGAGAAAGGGGGGAGGTATGTAAAGGAGAAGAATATAAGAAATATTTGATATGTAATGCAACGTCTAATCTTCTTCGATAATTATTTCCTCATTTTCATTCAACGCTTCGTTTGGAGTCTCCTTCGAAGTGGTTTTAATTATAGCTTCATAACAGCGCGTTTCTGCCATCACCAAGCATTTTCGTCTGCAAGTAGACATATACGTCAAAATATAAAATACACAGTCGACAATGGTGAACATACACATAATAGATTAAAATAATTTAAATAATTAATATATTCTGATACTTGCATGTTACTGTGATCATCCCGCGGTTTTCTCACTGGGTTCCAGTTAGTTACAGGCTTCTCATTCGTCAGCATCAAACCACGGATGCAGTACGATAATGCAACTTTATTCAAATTGCGATCCTGTTATATTAAGGAATATAATAATAACAACGATTTTTCGTAACAAAAGTGATGTTTTAATCAAACTTACACGCCATTCAGAATTTAGAACATCAGCCAGGCTTAATATATCGGACGCTACTGCGGCTTCCTCCAAAGTTCTTATAGTATTCAGATAATTCTCCTGCAGAAATTGGACAAACACCACTGACTGTGATTGGAAGAATGCCGCTATTTCTTCGGGATCGTGTACAAACTTGAAAGAATTGCCATGTGATTGTCCTAAAATAATAAATATAAATCACAATTAATTCGTGAAAGTTTGACAAATCCGGAAGTAAAATCCAATTACTTTTCGGATTTATGACTCTTCCGACACCGTGTAGCAGACCCAAAGTTTCCTCCCGTATCCCGCATTCGCTTTTCACGTGTCTCTCAGGCACTAACAATCATAGAAACAATGCAGATTCATACTTATTGGTTCAGTTATTAGTGCATATACCTCTGAGAGAAACAAAAATTAGATTTAGAACGACGCTGCGCACGTCGCCAATGCTGTTGGACAATATCTCGTCGATGTGTCGTTGTGAGATGTGCAGCATGTCGCCAGCGATGGAATTCAATGTATTAGATACCCGTCTCAATATGTTCTTCATCGATGTAGTCGTGACTGCGTTTATACTGTATACGAATAAATCACAATTAAAGAGAACCAGAGAGACGTTTAATCCGTTTAATTTTTCAGAAATTATAATTGACTCACTTGATGACGTCAATGCCGAACTTCATCCTTGTATCAGGTGGAAATAAAGTGTGCATCAGTTTTGAATTACCAGTTTCCGTGAAAACGAATATCACAGGTTCTCTTCCCATTTGGAAATATTTTCTAGATATTTGTAAAGAAACATATTACAATAGTTTGATCAAAATCTTGAATGGTTTGTTACGAAGTGACAAAGTGTTGCTTACTCCAAGAGTGCGAAGAAGCTTTTGTGATCTTCTTGATAGACATTTGGGATATCCTTAACAAGGAACAATTGTTTTAAACAGTCACCCAATACTGAGTGATAACGTGTTGCACGTATCAGGTGATCCTCGAATCTGTCTCCTTGTCGCATTACGCGTTCTAAAAATAATTCAAAATTATGAATCAAGTTATATATCACAAAGAAGCTTGAATTTGAAATGGTAATAGTTACTATTTTCATCTTCAGCCGGATCGACCGGTGTAATCCATTCTATAACATCAAAACTATTTTCTTTGGCAAGTAATTTTATAGCTGCAGTTTTGCCACAGCCAGAAGGTCCAGAAAGAATCAACATGGAAGGTCGTCCCTTCAACGCCTTGCTCTGAAACCAATTGGAGATTTCGTTCTGTTTCTGTCTACTAATTGCCAATTCAGACAGCCTTTGAGGCTCGCAGGCCTGAAGTAGCTTTGATAAACTGGTTTCATGTTTTCTCTTTTTGAAATTACTTTGCGTAAATGATCTGTCAAACAAAGTCTTATCTAATTCTGCTCTATTGGTACGTTTTACTAAGGGCTTGATTGCAGGCTCGCAATCAAATGATGGAACGCACCAACTGTTAGTTCTCTGCAAAGAAACACAATTCAGTTATTTGAATAATTAAATTTAACACTTAAGTTATTAAGAAGAAAAAATTTTGTATTTTAAACAAGATGTGAAGATAAAGTAAGAACAAAAGGTTTGCTCGCATCACATGTTCAAACATGTTCCAACATGCTCCTAATCCTATCATAGCTCCAACGAGCCTCATTGAAGTGAGTAGAAGCTGATATGCCCGTATCAGACTACGGATTGACGATTGACAGTTCTATTTCAGCCAATTACGATGGACTCGCTATATTGTGATTGGTTGAAGTAGAACCGAGCAACCGTTAATCATACTCGTCAATCCGTAGTCTAATACAGGCAATAAGCATGTTGGAACATGCGATGCAAATAAACTTAATATAGCGTTTAGGTTAGGATGAAATAAGGCGAGATTACTCAAATTTCCGTCAAATAATACAACTTTAAATAATATTTATCAAAATGTTTTTGATAATTACCTTCGATTCAACCATTCTTTCATATAAATTACATCATAATCGTATCTCTAATGAGCTTGAAAGATCGTCTCACATCAGACTCATCAGTCTCATGTCTCCTTAGAACTACTTAAAACATATGTTTTAAACATGTCCCATATGATTCCCATAATGCCAACAGCAACCAATACTGCCAATAGGGTTATTATTGTGAGTGTCTTTCTTCCACTTGAATATTATATCTGTACACGATACAGAAATTGCATAATTAATATTTTGATCTACAAAGTTTCTTTTCTTTTTAATACGAATATTAGGGTTATAAATTAAACTCTGATTTTTCTATTATGGAACTCAAAGTCTTTTAAACAATTTCTTTGTTTCGTAGTTTAATTCTTATTTTTTTTATAAGCAGGAATCTTTGCATATATTTTAATTCTTTCAAAAACGTAAAAATATGATCTCAAATTTCGATTAACTTAATTGGTCGAATTAATTCAACAAATGAAATTGATATACTTACAGTAAAATTATTTACTTATTAGAAATGCTGTTTGTTTGAAAAATGCTTATGATTCAAAACCTCGACATTTTGATTTTAGAATTTTTGTTTTTCAAAATGATTTCAAGAATCTATCCTTAAGCGTTGTTATGGTTTTATCGAACACATACCCTGTGTGTATGTGTGGGTGTGTATCAGTATATTATTATATCATACATATCATACATATATATGTTATACAATTGATCGCCAGTAAAAGACTCAATTATACTATAAGTAATAAATTAATAATATAAGATTCTCTCTAATAATAACTTAATAATAACTTCCCTGGTGGAAAAATGTTGCTGAAATTATTCCACGTTTTGGAACACTTCAACAAAATTTCAGCATTTCAAAAAAATTTCAGTTTAATTTCAGCGATTTTTAGCTGAAAACTTCATTTTCGACAAAATTTCAGAAAAATTTCAGTAAAATTTTCAGACGAATTTCAGCAAGAATTTCAGAGAAATTTCAGAGATATTTCGGTTGGATTTCAATCATTTTTCAGTATGTTAGCTGAAAAATTCATTTTCAGTGAAGTTTCAGCAAATTTTTAGCAATTTCGCTGAAATATTCCAAAACGTGGAATAATTTCAGCGAAACTTTTTCATCAGGGTTATTTTAAATATAATTTCTACACGTATAAAAATACATTCTATTATCCTTTGACAACTGAAGTGACTGTATCTAATGATGAGGATAGTTTGGTAAAGACTCCGTGGTTCTTGATGCCATACAACTCAATTAACGCCGAGAAATTTATAACGATTTGCAGAAATGAAAATTTGAAACCAGCATTTTATAGTAATAATAAACTTAATAAATTCATAAAAGTACAAAAAGACGCTCTCCCAACGATTTCAAACAAAAATATGGTTTATAAAATTGAATGTAAAGATTGTGATGCAACGTCTACCAAACAAGAATGTGGGCCAAACAAGTAGAAAATTAAGTACAAGGATTGCAGAACATCGCAATCATATAAATTGGAACACTGATAAACAGTCTGTAATCACAGATCACAGATTGAAACTTAAACATGAATTCGATTGGGAGAATGTCAAAATAATGGATACAGAAAGAACATTAAACAAACGGCTAATTTCAGAGAAAATACACATACACATGCAAAAAAATGGACTGAATTTAAGATCTGACACAGATGGACTACATCATGCTTATGTATCCATGCTAAATGATTTAACATAATTTTATTGTTTAAAATGAACGATTTTACTTCACGAATTAAACACTCTCTTCAGAGAGATTCTATATTTATATGAAATTATATGACTTGCATAATTGTTAGACATGATAGGCTACTTTTCACTTGGTATAACTTATGGATTAGGCTTTTAAATTATAACTTTTTCTGTTCTTATATTTATAATATCTATGGAAAACATGTTATTTGCGTCACATACTAAAATCTTTAACACAATATCTATATACTTTATATTTATTATGACTTAAGTCTATGTATCTGACCTTTGTCAAAATTAATATTTTCACTTATTCGACACTCTGAACTTATGGAATGAATTTAAATATTTTGTTTTAATTATATAATGATTTGCTGTGAATACTAACATATAATCCAAGGTTTCAAGATGAGATTTTGCGATCGAATAGGTGAGTTACTCGAATAAATTACTGTAAAAATCCAACATCTTATATATATATATGAATTAAACAGATAACACTGCAGTTTTGGCAACCTGCGAGTGATCCTATATCGAATGTTCGCAAAATCTAACATAGTTATAAGATGATTGCTGATGAAGATTCCAAAGAGAATCGAAACGTTCAAGAATTCGAATAAAGATGATTCCAATACATCACATGGATTGGCAAGTTTACTTTGTTGAAAAATTATTACGCACCTCCGCGCTCGCGTTGACTTTTATTAGCTCAATTAGTTTATATTGTGTTTTTTAATAATTGAGAGTCTTATGTACACTTTTTTTCTTACATTCTATTACGTGAGTTCGAAAATATTACAATAGCATTTTATCGATATCGATAAGTATAACCACTACAAAAAATTAATACGAAAGTTTTATTTCAGAAAATAACTTGTTAATATTACAAGACAAATTTCTTGTGGATAAGCAGAAAAACAATATACAAAACAATAAAATTATATAAACGCGTTGGTTTAGAAAAACGGTAATATACAGTTGTCTAGTTCTAAGGAAACTTCGAAATTCAATTTTATTGTGAATAATAATTACAATATCGAACTCTCTACGATATCTTCTGAGAACGGAGGAGAAGGTACGATACGAAGGATTAAGTATTCGGTTTTTTGATCGTTTTATTTTATGTATTCACAAACATTACAACTCTGTCGACTACGCGCCCGCATTCACAAAAGCCATCCTACACGCGTCATACAATACATATCACTCGTCTCGGGACCCCTTGAGGCCCTTGCGTACCGATTACGAATTGTAATCTTTTTTCCCGAGTCCCTAAGCCGGCGTTCATTAGCAATTTACTCTGTGTGTATAAGCGTACGTGTATATAAGTATGTATCCTTTTTGCTTTTTTTTTTATTTACAGTCGAAGCGCGATGCGCTCAATATATCCTGCGAAGCTACGTGGATTGGTCGGGCTGATATCTCTCACCCTCACTCTCGAGAATCCTCGAGACTCCTGCCGATCCAGACAGCTTCGTGTTGGAATTTGAAAAAATATGTAGCATTATATATCTTCAACGAAAGGCTTGGACTTGGTAGTTTATCCTTTATTCGTCGGTCCCATCTAGTATCCCGAAGGACCGACCGGTTTTCTACAAGAGTTCTCCTCTAGCGATCCTCTAAACGTATTCTAGTTAAATTCGCGGCGCTTATTTTTTTTCTCTTTCCTCTTTCTTTTCTTCTTTTATTATTGTGCATTATCTGAAAATGCATGAGTAATGCGACTTTTTATAAGGACTTTTTATTCCGGAAGTCAAGTTCTTTTCAAAGGCACTATTGTACGCGAACGGAAATGCGGCCCGAAGAAAGTTACGTCCTTTTCAATGTTCTTGCCCAGTATCTGTCGCGAATCGGTAAGGTAAATGTATCCAGTTAGTGGACATGATTCAATTATTGGACAAAATGCCAAAAATTTTTAATGTCAAACTTAATAATATGTACAACTCCAAATAAATTCGTTTTGTTCAATGTTAATGAACAAATTTATTTAGAATTGTATATTTGTATTTGTCTATTTGACAGCGAGCGTGGCAAAGCAGTTAAAGATCCCGTTCGATTTCCAAAAGAACCAAAATATTTTCATACACTCGTATCTCCTCTCGGAAGGAAGCGACAACCTACTGAGAGTACTTTGCTAAAAACGTTTTTCTCTAACATCTAACAAAATTTCATTGTTCGGAATCTTTAAACTGTAGGTGCTATATGACTGTGTACAACCAGCGTGCGCATCACAGGCATATGAGAAAAGTCACCACGCTGGGCTATGAGAAATAGGACAGCTAAGTACATATTATTAAAAGCTTAACATTTTAAATACTTTGTCCAATAATTGAGTCGTGTCCAACTAATAGATACATTTGTCTTACTTCAGGTGTAGTGTCTGCGAAGCTAAGCTTCAAGGTTTGTTTGCGTGGTAAACTCCAACATGCTTCAACATGATCCTATCATAGCTCCTACTCACTCTATCAAGCGCGTTGGAGTGAGTAACAGCTATGGTAGGAGCATATCGGAACATGTTGGAGCATGCGACGCGAACAAACCTCCAGACATATCGGATGAGATCTCAAAGATTCTCAAATCGATCGGTCACTTTTCATCGGCGACGAATCGTCGTCGAGAAATTTGATCGCATCATTTTCGATTTCACAAAAGATACCGAGGGGAGGGCTCCGCTGGCAATCAGTTAAAGCGACTAGATTTTTTGTATAATTTTGCACAAACGCAACGCGATCTCGTCGATTCAATAGTAATTGATCAATGACATATGTGAGATTGAAAAAAACTTTTTTTCAAAGTTAAAATGAAGCGATTCAATCTTCCTGTATCTGTAAGTTATAACGGGCATTAAATAGATAACGAGATAAAGTGAGAAATAATATGATTACTAATGATATCAATGTATCATGAATAACACATTGCATGATAATAAGTAACGTTATTTCTTGAGATCGGATCGCGATTGACGACTGATCGATGTCGATTAGCAAAACGTACGGATTTGTCTGTGTAATGAAATTGCGCTCGTCTTTTCTCACACCGTCGAGGATGCCTTTCAATAAAATTACGCATTCCTGTGTTCGTTTAAGGAGGGATCTTATTAACAAATTCCGTCTCTTCCAAAAAAAAAAAAAAAAACGAGAGTTACGTATCAAGGTATATAAAAATGGCACTATTACAAAATGGTAACGTTATAAATATAATTGTATTTATAGAACTATGTTGTTCAAGAAAGAGATTATATCATTGTGTGGGCAAATGAGCGAGTTTAGCGAGTCAAATTATTGAAAGATTACAACAATGTGAAAAAAGGCGGAAAAAAGATACAGAATTAAAGTAACAGATCTAAAAAGATAAAGATCTTAAAAAACTAGGTAGGAAAGATAAGTTCAGCGAAAACGAAACGATTTGAAAATATTACGGTCCCTCCTCAAAAAACGCATCCCATCTCCACATTGATAAACATAATCATCTCTTGCGATCTAGTGTATAATCTTTATA